GTATGTATAAAAAATATTCATGTTCTAAGGGACAAAATTCTGAAACTCAAAAAGGGGGTATTAGTATTGTACAAACACTGATAAAATAATATTAGCAAAAAGGAGAGAAAAAGGGCAAAAATAATAAGAAGGCATAAACTAAAAACTAAAAAGTTCTGCCAGGTCTATCTCCTGATTAAGACCTAACTTCAGAGTCTTTAAATTAAACATCAATTGGGCTTCTTTCATATTGAGTAATGTCTCAATGTTCTCCCCTCTCTAATGTCTTTCTACCTTGTCAATTCCGAAAGCCAAAAAAGTATCCCACCGGAATTGTGGGAAACTAACACAGTGTCATTTAGGAACTCATCTTTTTTCAAAATATGCCAGTGTTTTTTTATGATACTTTCAATTTTCTTGGTCTGCAAATTATATTTAGTAGCAAAGGCAAAATCAAATTTCTTATTATTTTTATTATTTGTTTACTTTTGTTTAAAGGGTACAATCAGTCAGTTTTGATTAACCCCTTAAGGACAGAGCCAAATGTACACATTGTGAACAAAACAAAATGTAAACAAAACCTGGCATTTGCGCTACATGTCTGTCCAACCGTAATTCACCTCTTTCATAGTAAATGCACCCACCCTTATTATATATCATTTTATTCAGGGGAAACAGGGCTTTCATTTAATATCAAATATTTAGCTATGAAACATAATTTAATATGAAAAAAATGGGAGAAAATACGTTTTTTTTGGATTTTTTTAGTTCTACATGACATTTTAACGGTCAATGTCATAATACTGTTTGCTTTTACTGCAATAAAATACACATATTTATATTCAGTAAAGTCTCACGTGTAAGACAGTACCCCCTATGTACAGGTTTTATGGCGTTTTGGGAAGTTACAGGGTCAAATATAGCACGTTACATTTGAAATTGAAATTCGCCAGATTGGTTACGTTGCCTTTGAGACTGTATAGTAGCCCGGGAATGAAATTTACACCCATAATGGCATACCATTTGCAATAGTAGACAACCCAAGGTATTGCAAATGGGGTATGTCCAGTCTTTTTTAGTAGCCATTTGGTCACAAACACTGGCCAAAGTTAGCGTTAGTATTGTTTGTGTGAAAAATGCAAAAAATGCCAATTTTGGCCAGTGTTTGTGACTAAGTGGCTACTAAAAAAGACTGGACATACCCTGTTTGCAATACCTTGGGTTGTCTACTATTGCAAATGGTATGCCATCATAGGGGTAATTTTCATTCTTGGGCTACCATAGGGTCTCGAAGGCAACATAACCAATCTGGCGAATTTTAATGTGAAAAAACTGAAATGCAAGCCTTATATTTGACGCTGTAACTTTTGAAAACACCATAAAACCTGTACATGAGGGGTACTGTTGTACTCGGGAGACTTCGCTGAACACAAATATTTGTGTTTCAAAACAGTAAAAAGTATCACAGCAATAATATTGTCCGTGTAATGCTGTTTGTGCGTGAAAAATGCAAAAAACGTCACTTTTACTGGCGATATCATCGTTGTAATACATTTTACTGTTTTGAAACACTAATATTTTTGTTCAGCGAAGTCTCCCGAGTAGAACAGTACCCCCCATGTACAGGTTTTATGGTGTCTCGGAAAGTTATAGGGTTAAATATAGTGCTAGCAAATTAAATTCCCTTTACTTTCGGCATGGGTTGTCAGGCAGGTCCTGCTAATTGTAATTAATTAAGATACCTAATTATGTAAAAATATTACATAAATATATATGTAGAATTAATATATGTATATATATACGTATGTGTATATATATGTATATATCTATATAATTTTTTTTAAATATTTTTATTTATATATAGGTATATATATAGTGATATATACGTATATATTTATGTATATAGATATATATATTATTTCGTTCTACGTGTATTTTGATATATATATATATATATTAATTTCACAAACAGTTAGAACGAAATAACACACATCTATATATTTTTTAATTATTTATTTTTAATTATTTTTTTAATTTTATTTTTTAACGTATTTACATTTTTTTTTTATATTATATATAAATATATATAACAATAATTATATATATATTTAATCAGTATCAGTCTACGTGTAATTTGATATTAATATATATATATAATTATATATATATTAATAGTAAAATACACCTAGACGGTGTACGTGTGTGTATGTATATGTGTATATATATACTTAGATCATATATATATAATATATATATGATCTAAGTATATATAATTATTTTTTTTTACACCATTAACTTATTTTTATTTTATTTTCAGCCAGCAGGGGGACCACCTGTCATTACAGGCAGCCCCCCTGCCGGCAATACAGAAACCAGCTATCCCCGGCCATGTGATTGTGGGGTCCTTGCTAGGACCCCACTCTCACATGGCCGGGGGGCTTCAACGAGGACGGACGTGCCGCGGGGGGCTCCCTGGGAGTCCCCCCAACCGCGATCGCCGGCGTGGGACCGCCGGCGACCGGGTAAGTTAACAAAAACCGGAGGCCGTACAATTACGCCCAGCGGCGTTTAGAGCCGCCTATTAGAGGGCGTAATTGTACGTCCTCCGGTTTTAAGGGGTTAAAGATAACACTGCCTTCTCAATATCTTTTTTGTCATAGCTAGAGTTGAGCCAAACATTAGGGTTTTTGGACCCCGGACCCGAACATGGACGTATCACTGTATGTTCGGGTTGGAGTTTGGTGTTCGGCGATTTAATGGCGCGTTTTCAAAGGCTGCAGGGCAGCCAATCAACAAGCGTTTGCCTTGTGTGCCCTTAGAAGCCATCACAGCCATGCCTACTAATGGCATGGCTGTGATTGGCCAGTGCAGCATGTGACCCAGCCTCTATATATAAGCTGGAGTTGCATAGCGCCGCACGCACGCACATGCGGTCTCATTAGTGTAGGGAGAGGATGCTGCCGCTGATAGGGACAGCTTAGGAAAGAATTTTGCAAACTAGTACATTAGTGGGGTGGGGTGCACTTCATATCTGAGAGTCAAATAGAAGCTTCAAATACCACGGTTACATCAGAGTTTTAAAAAGTACATTTTCTTTGGTGCGAAATAGTACATTAGTGGGGTGCACTTCATATCTGAGAGTCAAATAGAATCATCAAATAGTGCTGTCACATTGCAGTTTTAAAACTTAAAATTGTTTGGGTGCTAAAAAGTACATTAGTGGGGTGCACGTCATATCTGAGAGTCAAATAGAAGCGTCAAATTCTTCTGTTACATTGCAGTTTAAAACGTAAAACATTTTGGGGCCCTAAACTGCTAAATAGTATTTTAGTGGGGTGCACTTCATATCTAAGAGTCAAATCGAAGCATCTAATAGTGTGCTTACAGCGCAGTGGTAAACATTCTTATTTTCTGGGTGCTAATCTGCTAAATAGTACGTTTTGGGGCGTGCACTTCATATCTTAGAGTCAAATAGAAACGACTAATACTGCAGTTACAGCGCAATTGTAAACATTCTAATTGTTTTGGTGCTAAACTGCTAAATAGTACATTTTGGGGCCTGTTCTTCATATCTGAGAGTCAAATAGAAGCGTCTAATAGTGCGCTTACTGCGTAGTGGTAAACATTCTTATTTTCTGGGTGCTAATCTGCTAAATAGTACATTTTGAGGCCTGTTCTTCATATCTGAGAGTCAAATCGAAATGTCTAATAGTGCGGTTACAGCGCAATTGTTTTGGTGCTAAACTGCTAAATAGTACATTTTGGGGCCTGTTCTTCATATCTGAGAGTCAAATTGAAGCGTTTAATAGTGTGCTTACTGTGCAATTGTAAACATTCTAATTGTTTTGCTGCTAACCTGCTGCTTACATTGGAGGTTTAAAAAGTCAATTTAAAAAAAAAATTGTATATTTGAGGTGTTCACTTCATATCTGAGAGTCAAATCGAAGCGTAACTTTTATTCGAAATTACTACATCGGTCACTTGTAATATTGTTTCACACCTACCACACTTGTTACACAGATCTAAGTGATAGGAAGCAGATTGATATTTTCTACACTAGAAACTACCAGAAAACAAGCTGCTATATTTAAACCAGTGATCAATAGCTAAGAGGTACTTCAACAGCATTGTAATTCTGGGGCAATACCCTCACAAGTAAAAACTGAGAGGTCAGTTTATAGGGAAAACTGTTGCATGGAGGAAATTCTAAAACAATTTCCATATGTCCTTTGCAGACTTTACATGCTGGAAAAACACAGATGCCAACTGCTGTGGCTTTCTGCAGTGTGCATGCTAGCAAGGAGGGCAGGGTTGAGGATTGGGTGGAAGATGATCGGGAGGGTTATGAGGTCCTAGACCCCACATGGAATCAAGGTCATGCAAGTGATGTGTGCAGTTTGTAGGAAGAGACTCTGGTCGCACAGAGGCACCAGCACAGCAAAAGAGGGAGCAGGGTACAAAAGCGGAGCGGCTGTCCCCTAGCGCTCACGGCATGTGTTAGCTCGAGAATTACCAGTTATCCAAGTAATACATGTAGCGATCAAAGGATCCACAATAGAGTTGAATGAACCCGAACTGCAAAGTTTGGGTTCGTACCAGATTTAACCATCCATTCGTAGTTTCACAGTGAGGTGGGCAATCCGATGACCAGGACCCAGACACTGTCTGGGCGGCGGTCAGACGACCGGGACCCAGTATGCCTGATGTTGAAGTTAGGAGTCACAGTATGGAATGGATAAGCAGGGTCTGGTGCAGGGTAACCGCACGCCCCCTGGTGTTGAGCACTAGTGTTTGTGCGGCCACATACCAGGACCCTGATGCAGCTTCAGTAAAAAGAGTACTGGATACCAAAAGTCATCAGCAGACTAATCCGCAACTTGGAACAGGATGTGACATTCACTGTAATGGCTGTGCGGGCTTTTGGCGTTGTCACCCTGCTGCTGTTCGCCTGTCTGCGCTGCAGTGTAACTTCGGCCTTCATGCTCACCGACTCATGAGACTGTGCGAGCAGCAGCAGGCGATAGTGGAGTTTCAGGTGTAGCATACATGGGTCAGTGGCTCTGCACCAGACTTCCCTCCAATTGATCAGAGTTAAAGGATTTCAAGTGGATTCATTACAATTACAGGGCCTCTAAAGAGTTCTGTATTGTTATTTGTCGTCACTACCTTCCCGCGTCAGGAGTGGGTCATTTGTGCGCCTGCTGCATACCTTGCATGTGGTAGCCGTTTCTCAGGGTCCCTGTACGGAATGGAACACTGATTCCCCATTACCCATGGTCACCATGGTAGGCGCAGAAACTGGCATCGAAAGTTGATATGGATGACATCCGCATGAAAAGTATTATGTCAACAGCTACTCTGCGGAACAGAGTTGTCTTTTTTTATACGTCCCAATATTTGGGGGGCTACCCCAATTATAATATATAAAAACAGTGTTGGCTACCTCCTCCTCCACCGCCACGGTCACTGCCTCCTCAACCTATGGGTCACTTAGTAGAAACTAGGTACACATTAGCAGAGGCTTGTGAAGGCCTTTTCTCCATGCATCAGGAGTTGAGCATTTCTCCATGCATCAGGACGGCAAGAAGTGCACCACAGGCCGCAAATGTTTCTTTATTTGTATGTCCCACTATTTTGTGGGCTACCACAATTAAAAAAAACACCATAAAGTACAGTGTTGGCTACCTCATCCTCATCCTCCACCACTGCTTCCTCCTCCACCGCCACGGTCACCGCCTCCTCAACCTATGGGTCACTTAGTATAAACTAGGTACACATTAGCAGAGGCTTGTGAAGGCCTTTTCTCCATGCATCAGGAGTTGAGCATGTCTCCATGCATCAGGACTGCAAGAAATGCACTGCAGGCCGCAAATGTTTCTTTATTTGTATGTCCCAATATTTTGTGGGCTACCACAATAAAAAAAAAATAATACAGTGTTGGCTACCTCATCCTCCTCCTCCACATTAGCAGAGGCTTGTGAAGGCCCTTTCTCCATGCATCAGGAGTTGAGCTCATTTTGAACAATGAAAGAGAATACCCTGCACTCCAACCCTCTCTCAAATGGATAATTATGTTGATCCTCCTGACAGCCATGCTTTAGATTTTGATTTATGTTCTTCCAAAGCTAAAATCAAAGATTCCATCTAGTGCTATTTTATGGCTCAGCTGTATTTTTAATTTTTATGTTATTTTAAGTGATTTCCCTATTCACATTTGTTTGCAGGGCACTTGTCGTACTCTTACCCCCATTTTACTTAATTTTGCAGCTCTCTAGCCCTTTCCAGGAGTTTTTTAGAGGCATTTTTGTGACCAAAGGTTCGGGTCCCCATTGACTTCAATGGGGTCCAGGTTCGAGGTCAAGTTTTTTTCAAAGTTTGGCCGAACCCGATGGACCCGAACATCCAGGTGTCCGCTCAACTCTAGTCATAGGCCTTATCTCCACATCTGTCTTGGATGGTTTGAGATTGTTTTTTTGAAAATATCTAAATCCGAGCAGTTACGTCTAAGACGTGTAAGTTGCCCTTTTGGGATATTTCTTAACCAGGAAGGGTGATGAGAACTAGAGTAATTTATTGCTGTGTTGCAATTTGTGCTTTTAAAGAAAGTTTTTAAAATATTATCTTCCATATATATGGTTAGGTCAAGAAAATCTATTTTTTCCAAAATGGCAAGAGGATGTAAATTGTAAGTTTTACTCATTCTGATTAATGTATTGAATAAAATTGTCTAGACCAATGTAATCACCTCCCCAGATAATGAGTACATCATCTATGTAGGGTTGCCACAAGACAAGGTTCCCCCCAGCGTCTGACCTAACCCAATATGACATGATTCCCAATGGGATACGTACAGGTTGGCGAAGCTAGGGGCGAACCTCGTCCCCAAGGCGACACCCCATAGCTGCAAGTAATACTTATTGTCAAACCAAAATAAATTTTTGTTAGTACAAATTTAATACAATTAATTAAGACATCCACTTGATTGATGTTCATCTTCCCATTTTGAGTCAAAATGTCCCTAATAGCTGATAAACCTTTATAGTGAGGAATATTAGTGCATAATGAGACGACATTTACTGAAGCTAGAATATATGTTGATTTCTATTTCACCTGTAGTAGATCATTTTAAAGATGTTTTGTGTCTTTGTTATAAGTCGGCATTATGGATACACACGGCTGTAAAGTGTTTTTTCACTCTTCTCACTTATTAGTTTGTCTTTTTCGTAATTTCAGCATTCTTCCATTCTTTACTTTGGTTTCTTCATTAGTTGTGTCTAACACATCTTCTAGTACCCTATACATTACCTTTTGACAGGAAACAGGAACAATGAAATCAACATTCTTCAATAGTACTTTACACACAGATATTATTTACACATATGAAAAGAATTCAAACTCATAACACCAGTATATATGTATATATACACACACACACATATATATATACATACATATATATATATATATATATATATATATACACACACTTACACACAACAGACCACAATAGGAAGTTCCATGTCATTCTACAGAGAGTGGGCTTTAGCACAGTTAGGACGACATGGAATGTCTCACTGATTTGTTGTGAACAGGGTTAAATCCCTACTCACACCAGGGAGACATGTATTATTTGATACCTGGAGTTCTCCTCCGTCAGATCGGGCCATATTGAGTTGCCCAGGACTGACAAAGGAGCTGTATACGGTGCTCAAAGTGAGTGCTGCATAGAGCCCTTTAAATCCACGACTGATTGTCTGCAGTCTAAAAGAGACGCCTGGGCTTTGAAAATATCCTTCAATTGTCTACCTGCATATCCATCTGATGATTGTGACTAATGCTGGGCTTTGCCTGCAATTCCTGCAATTGTTTCGGCATGGCATTACCCACAGAGACTCCTGCAGTTTATGCCATTCATGGTATTTAAGGGCTAGGGTAACTCCACAGTTTGTCAATTGGAGTAATTATTTTTCACACAAATACTTTAAGACTCCACTAAAACAGCATGTTTAGTCTTGCAATATCTAAGATATATAGATAATTGTTCATCTCATCAATAAACAAAAAGGTACATCATAGCATTATAATATTTTCCTAACGTTATAGAAACCTGTTTGATGTTTAGTGTACCCCACCATATGAATTAAAAAGCTTGTTTTACTTACATGTTCTCATTCACTACAGTGCTCTCTCTGTGGCGATGAATCCTGATGATATCAGCCAACCCAATGTTTATGGGGGCACAACACCAATGAGGCAAGTCAGTTTATGTAGGTATTTAGAGCTTTTCAATTGGTGGATTCAGACAGTCCTCTTTTCGACAACCTGCCTATGAATATATCCTAGGCTGGTAATGACTATGGGATATGGTGCATTGCTTAGTACTTTTTGCCTACAAATTAAAATTTTCCTCACAATAGGTTAGTGTTCAAACTAAAAGAACTTGGCCTAGATGGAAATTCTTGTTGTTGGGTAGAACAGTGGCTTAACGATAGAGTACAGAGAGCTGTCATTAATCGTAAATGGTAAAAAGTGGTAAGTGGTGTACCTCAGGGTTCTGTTCTGGGACCGCTTCTATTAAAAGTCATGTTTCAGTGTTTGCAGATTACATAAAACTCTGTAAAGTAATACAATGTGAGGAATTTAGATAGACTGGGGGACCGGGCACTTACATGACAGATGAAGTTAAAAGTAGAAAAATGCAGTTATGCACTTTGGGGTAAAGAATGCACAAACAACTTACACCCTAAATGGTAGCGGATTAGGGATAACAACACATGAGCAGGATTTGGGGACTGTTATAGACAATAAACTAGGCAACAATATGCAAAGTTGCTAAGGCTAGTAATGTATTGTCACGGAGAGCGTTGATATCAAGCCCTTTAACCTCCACCCCACAAAAATATAAAACCCTACAATTGCAATACTACCACAAAGATTATGTCCAAATTCCAATTACTCATGTTACTTGCTCTTGCATATGATGTAGAGTCTAACCCTGGTCCCCCAACAGATTCCATTCCTAGCCTTCCAGCTAAAAAAAGGCCTCTCCTTTGTGCACTGTTATATATGCAGCTTACTACCAAAAATCGATGCACTGCAAGCATTATGTTCACATTACAAGCCCAAAATCATTGTGCTCTCTGAATCGTGGGTAACCGCAGAATACCTGACTCTGCCATTGTAATACATGGGTATTCATATACCAAGGTTTAGACTGCCATCCAGCCTTGGCATATACCTAGTGGAGCGCTTATAGAAAGTTAGTGAGATGGACAATAATACTCAGATCCAATTTATGCAGGTGATAATGTAAAAAAAAAGGAGAAATAAAATATAGTATAAATCTGTAGAGAAGATAATTCTAGATATAAGTGGTGGAGAATTCCAACTCACATTTACTAGAGTCTATAATGGGATAGGCTCAAATTGCAAACGTTTCTGTGCCGTCTGGTGGCACCTAACCCTTTTTAGCTTGTTGGTTTTCCTCAAAAAGAATAGAAACAGGAAAAACTCATTTGGTGTAGTATATACTGTCCCAGTTGTTATATCACTTTAAAAAGCAAATCAGTGCTCACCTTTACCAGAGCCCCTGGTACCTGGCTCTGGGTATAATCGCTTGAGTACCTGTAGAAGCAGAAGTTGAGGTAGTCGAGAAGGGACTTTAAAATATATATTTATTCAAACAAAATAAAACAAATAAAATACAAGTAAAAAACAATGGTATCCTTGAGTGGACTCCTCTCACCGAGACGCGTTTCTCCCAATGCCTTGGGCTTCTTCAATCCGACACACTATGTCTTCAATCGGTATGCTGTATCTCTTGCTTCCTTCTGTTCTTATATATCTTCATTAATGTCCCCATAGGTTCATTTGAATCACCGTCCTACAATAGTTCAGTTTCATCAATTTACTCCTAAATCAGTTCATTCCCTTCACCTGTGTGCCGGGTTCTCATGCGGCGTCATCCATCGCGTCACATCCGGTCCAGATGCGGCCATAACCCTTAAGGGCATTCCAGTCATGTTGGCTATTCCGGAAATGACGCGTTCGTATCCGACGCCACTTCAAACCATCACACATATATACCCATTTGCATGCCGGGAAGTGTAGTCCCATTGAACCAGTACACTTGCGAGGTGATATACTCGCGGTCCATCAAAAAAGGGGAGAAAAAGAAAAAAAGATAAAAGGTAAAAAATAAAACATACCCTTTAGGTACAAATATGAAAAATCACTTGATTCAATGCAAATAATAAAACGAACTGCCCCACTTTTATCCTCATACAATGTTCTTAAAAGGATACATAGTAAAAGGAACAGTAACCTCTTCATGCAAAACAACATTGAGCCTGAATGCAATAGTGACCCTCAGTTCTTCTAATATTAGCAATTCCCAATGTCTTATTTGATGACTAAACTCATTTCTAAAAGCTAAAATGGTATATCAAA